GCCACCCTGTTCTGTTGCGGTGTCTCACGTACTGTGAAGTGTCATCTAATGTCGTGATCCCGGCAAAACTGTAGAAACGGATTACTCTTATACTCTCCACCGTTATCAGAACGTAGAGTCTTTACCTTTCTACCTGTCTGCAGCTTCACTTTCTTCTTCCACTCCACAAAAATATCCAGGACCTGATTTTATGCTTCATCGGGTATACCCAATTTCTCCTGGAATAGTCATCAATGAAAGTGACAAAATAGTTAGCCCCACCAAGTGATGTGTGCTTGGAAGGACCCCAAACATCTGTGTGAATATAGTCCAATATACCTTGGGTATTATGAATAGCGGTGCCGAATTTCACTCTCGTCTTCTTCCCAAGTATGTAATGTTCACACAGCTCCATCTTGCAGGTTTTTGCACCCTTCAATAGCCCCTGCTTCGCCAATACCTACAGGGACTTATCACCAGTGTGTCCCAATCTCATGTGCCATAATTTGGTAGTATCTTCCTCTGTGGTAATCGAAGCTGCCAGACCCCCTGTTACTGTCTTACCCTTCAAGTAGTAAAGGTTGTTTTCTCTGACACCTCGCATCACCACCATGGACCCCTTTGTGACCTTCAGAGTCGCATTCTTCAAAATCACCTTATAGCCAGCTGCCTCCAAAGTTCCAAGCGAAATGATATTCTTCGTCAACTGAGGAACGAATCTCACTTCCTTCAGCTCCCGAGTCACCCCGTCACACATCCGGATCCGTACTGTACCAATACCACCAATAGGGTATACGTGATCATTACCCATGAGCACGACATCCCCTCTTTCCAACTCCTCAAAGCTGGAGAACCAATCCCTCCTAGGGCAAATATGGTATGTAGCACCAGAATCCATCATCCACTCCGTAGAGTCAGCGTAACAAACTGACGGTAATGCAGAGCAAGAATAGCCTGAAGAATCCGTATCTGAATTGTCATCACTAGCCTTGACAACATTCACTTCTGAAGCTTGTACAGCTTTTCCTTTATTCTTCCCGGCTTTATCTTTCAACTTTGGGCAGTCGTTCTTCCAATGTCCTTCTTCTTTGCAAAAGCGACATTGATTCCTACCAATATTTCTATGGCCACCTCTTGACTTCGATCTTGAGCGATCACCTGGACGACGGTTTGGACCACGGCCTCGAACTGCTAATGCATCTCCCGATGCCTTCTCGGAGGGTTCGCCATCACTCTTCCTCAACTCATAATTCACCAAAGCTGAGGTCACCTCCTTATAGCTAACCGTAGTTCTTCCATTTATCATAGTGAGAACAAACGTTCCGAAATCATCCTCCGGCAACGAACACAAAAGTAGCATCGCCTTATCTTCATCCTCAACCATGATATCTACATTGGCCATATCCGAAATTAGCTTTGTGAAGTTGTTAACATGCTCCCGAATGGAAACTCCCCTCTTCATCTTGAATTGGTAAAACCTCTTCTTCAAGTGAAGCTGATTCTCAATGCTCTTCGTCAGATACTTCTCATTGAGTGTTTTCCACATTCTCTTCGCCGACGTCTCGTTCATTACGTCATAAATGAGATCCGGCGTCAAGCATGACCGAGTTACTCCACAAGCCCTGCTATTCATTTTCTTCCAAACCTTGTCATCCATATCAGCGGGTTTCTCTTGTAACTCAAGAGTCTCCTCCAAATTTTATGCATCCAAGGCTTCCATCACCTGACACCTCCACAATCCGAAATTAATCTTACCGTCGAACTTCGGAACATCAATCTTCGTGTTATTGATGCTCAGACTCTGTATCGCCTTAGAAAGAGACGATCCCGATGTGCTTGTTTCTCCCATGTTATCAATCTAATTCTTCAAATAAGAATCCTTCAGTGAATCCTTCGAACTAGCCCCAAATCCTTCGAACAGTCCCAAAGGATAGCCATGTGTAAAATTTTGTGGATCGCTCCTAAATACTTCTGCAAGCATGACTTGGGTATCAAAATGGCCAACTCACCTCTGGACCCAAATCCAAGACGAAAGGCGTATTCGACCCGTAATCTGCTAAAATGACCTACCTCGAGATGAAAGGACCTTCCTACTAGGACCCGACAATGCACGTCTTGAACAGTGGGACAGCTTGCCGAATATCTTCACGGGTCACATCACATTTAATACATGAGCAGTCTTCGATGCCCAGTCGTCATCAACATTAATCCGGCATCAGGATCATCATTATCTTTCGAGTCAAAGCTTTCAAATCATCTTAGATATGCCATTATTTCCAAAAGTTCATTCATTGCAGTGAGGAGAGCTCAACCAACTAACTGCCAATGCGGCCTGACCCATTATTGCATAGACCAGCCGAATTACCAACGTACCCACATAAACCATTACAATTTTCCTATAAAATATCTTGGCCATTCTCAAGTACGAGCTATTTCAAACACAAAAAATTCTAGAGATAACACTGCTCCTCTTTAGTTTATCAATTTTAGTTACTGACTTAAGTGTTGGAGGGCACGCGCGAGGAAACAACCTCTGGGAGCCTCTAACCTTTGTTGCGTGTGCAAGAAATTACAGTCCAAGATCTACAACAAAAGAATCAACCATCAAAAGAGATTAAGGGATCCACAAACTAACTTCATCCCCACTAAACCTCACCCTAATTCTTATCCATCTTATTCTCAAGGTCTTGTATATGTATAGTTTATAACTTTCTGATCGAAGACCACCAAAGCAGTGATCCATTAACACGAATGGAAAGGCATTTAATTAATTTATAATCAAATGAGCTTGAAAAGATGTGATAATTATATTTTTATTTTTGGATTAGGCTAGCAGGCATGCCCTTTTTAGTTGACGTTGTATTTCTTACGTCTCTTGCATTGTTGTATGAACTGCGTCCCAACCGTAATCCCTTATATCAGGTTTTGCTTCTTTATGATTTTTTTTTTCTTTTTTATTAGTTCTGATATATGCATATGGATGTTCATGTATTTTCAGGTGGTATGTTTAAATTTTTATTACAAGGTCACGCTAAATCTTCCCATTTTTTGCAAAACAATGTATTAACCACAATATTAGCTGAATGGAGGGTACATATATATGTCATTCTAATTATGATCTTGTCCTACCAATCAATCATAATACCCCTAAAAGCAAACATGACACTGGACTATTTTAAGTTAATTGGAAAGTTAGTTTGTGTGAAAATAAACATTTCACAATGGTCCTAAGATAGCACAACTCTAGGGCTATAGTCCCAGGATTGCAATACCCCCTTATCCCTAGATAAAAAACAGATATGGCCTATAAGTTTTTGAGACTAAAGTTTTAAGAGTGACTTTGAAAGAACATTGAAATATATCACTTTCTAAGGATCTCTCTTAAGAGTTGGATCCCTCCACTACATAAAGTAACAGATGTTAGTAAAACAATGAAGGAGATAGAAATTCTGAGGCGTGAAACACTTTTCTTAAAAAAATATTTGCCCCCATTTGATATTCAAAGTTGCTTCGGGTTAATGTAAATTTTCTTCCCAGGATACAACAGAAAATAAAAATTCCAGTAAGCAAATCTGGAATTTTCCTTAATTCGTTGTAAAACAAGTTTGTAAAATTGCAGAAGTTTTTGATAGAAAAGATTCAGAAAAGAATTGTAAATAGATATCTGAAAACAAAAACTATTTATAGGTTTGAAAAAGTGCTTCCAACAGTCACAACTTTTCAAAACACCCCTTGGAGCAAACAGCCACTTTTCAACAGTCACTTGTCTTTTCATAATTTTTTAAAATTCAAAATAACATTAAAAAATATATTCAATATATAATTATCATACTCCTTTTAAAAGCACGAGTTCAGAAAATCTTTTTTAGACAAATATACCCCTTTATAGTTTGAACTACCTTATCTATAATCAAATTCTAATTTTCAAATTTAATTTTAATGATGGGAAAATATGCTCTTATTTTGGAACTAACAAAATAACCGATTAAAATAACCAGATTGTTGTCAAAACAATAATTCCAATTCAAACGCAGCCGGGTCACATTTGAAATTTTTTTTTTTAAAAGACAATAACTGAAAACTTTGACCACCAGTGAGCGCGTTTGTGTATCCTTGCGCATCATCAATATTTTATTTATAAAAGAAGTAATATGGTCAAAGGGATAAGCAAAAGGTTTCGTTGCATGCAACCCCAAAGCTCAGATTTACATGCACATGCGCGTGTGAGAATTTATAGTCAATTTTCTGACCAAAAATTATCGCAGAGAGAGATAGAGAACGGGAAACTGAATCTAGATTACCTTCATTGTAATATAATTCAAATCCTAATAAAACTCTAATTATAACTATTATCCTATCACATAGAATGGACCAGTCATGTTATCATACTTCGAAGTGCAGAGACCACTTACAAAAATGCAAAAGGATCAGGAAAAAATACTAAAGCTAATTTTTGCTGACGCAAAGGTAAAATAAAATTATTTTTAATATTATATTGTTTTCCCATCATTACATCTGATCATATGAATATTGCTAAATCTCATTTTCTATTCGGTAAATTACATTAAAACACTGATAACTATCAGAATGGCTTTTTATGATATTTTCCTGTTTACGTATAATATATAGATTATTATTAATTATTTATATTTTCCATAAATTGATCTCTGGTGTTAATAATATTTGCAGGGTAACAAATACAAGCAGTAATGTACGGAGAGACTATCGAAAAGTTTATATATATGCTTCGAAAAAATCAAATTATTTTCATTTCAAATGGAGAAGTGAAAGGAATAAACCCAGCTTTTTCAAGTATCCACAAGTCACTAGAATTAGTACTAACAAAAGACGTATCGATCAAAAAAGCACCAACAGGATTCCACTTGGAGAACATAGGAAGCATTTTTCATGAAAGATGCAACAAAAATTAGTAAGTACTTACAAACTTCTTGCTTAAATTTTGAATACAAAATGAGACATTAATCTACAGAATCATAATCTTTTTATCAAATCACTTGCAGATATTCTAGCAATAACAACTAATGTGAAGCCGGCAATCAACTATATTACAAGACGCAACAAACCAGACAGTAGGAGGGAAATCACACTTATTGATATAAGGTATATACATGTTACTTATTTCCAATATCATAAGAGAAAAAAAGATTAACGTTCTTTCTTTTTTCATATGCAGTGGAATGCTAATGCGTGTAACTTTATTTGGAGATTTGGCTACAAATGAAGGATCAATTCTTGAAGCAGAAATCAAATATAAGTCTGTAATAGCATTATCAGATTTTAAAATCTCTATATATCAAGGTACATAAATTATTGCTAAAATTCTTAGCATTATCAGATTTTAAAATCTCTATATATCAAGGTACATAAATTATTGCTAAAATTCTTATTAAAGATAGCTAAACATAAAATTAATCCTATAATTTTCCCATTTTTGCAGGAGATACAAGCATATCGTCGCAAATTATTTCAACATTATGTATAAACCCAAAAATAGAACTAGCTAGCGAATTAAGGGAATGGTAAGCAGAACAATCAAACTTTCATATAACCCAATAATAAAATGGTATTATATTTAAATCTAATATGCAGGTTTCAATTGGAAAAAGCTGCAAAAGCAAAAGGATCTCCATCAACACTTTTTAAAAATGTCAAGGAAATTCATATTAGTGATATTATGCAAACATCACAAAATTTGATACAGGTACAATATTATATACATATTCTTATCTACAAATTTAAAACTAACTAAACTTTGTTAATATACAGGCACGGTATTGCATATTTAAGGAAAAGATAACTACTATTTTAAATAGGCTCGAGCCATGGTTCTATTATTGCAAAGGCTGTGACAAGAATGTTGATAAAAATGTTAGTAAAGAGTGTCTGAATGACAAATACCGCAGAATCATTGATGACCTAGTACCAAGGTTAAGTAATATATATTTTTTAATGTCATGAACATATTATAATACAATACTAATTGTCTTTAGAAATTAACAATGAAAAATACAGGTACTTAGTTAAGATTCTCGTGGAAAATGACACGGATAATGCAAGAGTAACACTCTTTGACGCAGCAGAAACTCTTATTGGATGCAAAGTAGAAAAATTCATTACAGAAAAGAAATAGGTAATTCCTAACTCTATTCAAGTAGTAAATTAGAAAATAAACAAATTCATAAGTATTAATATAACATTTGTTCTCATTGCAACAGAAAAATAATCAGAGTCCATATTTTCAAAAATTTGTTTTGAACATCGGTAAAAGTTTCAAATTCCTGATGAAGTTAGATGAAAAGACAAAAGATGAACGAGGCGAAGGCAATATAATAGCACAAGAAATTCAACTCCAGACTAATATTACAATCGACGTAAGTGATGAAGATGCTACTCTAAAGTTGCCCAGAAAAAAGATAAAGGTGGAGAAAGATTGATCTTGGTTCAATTATAAATTTTCAAGAACAATATTTTTTAATCATTTTATATAACAACTTAAATTTTTATTACAATTAGGAATTTTTATAAGGCATTTTCATGCAAAGTTATTAGTAGTTTTGTATGCTTATGTGATTGCATAAATCACATAAAATTACACTTTGATATTTAACCATTTTAATATATTTTATTATTATCTATGGATATGATCCTGCATTTCGTGAGAGACAATCGATAAAAATCTGCTTTTATTGATCCTGTGAATGGATATATTGTCAGGTAGATGTAAAATACTCTTACTGATAGCTAGCACAGCATGTGATCAATCATTTATGATATAAAGGTGATCTCTTTAACCAATTGGCAAATAATTACTATTATGATGATTTTGCTTGGGGTTGTCACAAACTTCAATATTCAATGTTTTCAAAAGAAACCCCTTGACTAACTAATTATTACTTGTTGAGATTGTTGTCATGTTGAATAAGGGACCAAATTTGATCAAAATTTACTTTCATACTTTAATTAAGTTCCTATTGGGTGTTGGTGGTAGTGATCAATTAAAAATTCTTAGAACAAAAAAAATTTACAAGTTTGCAGTAAATCAAACAATGATCTTAGCTTTTTGAATCAAAAAATATTTCAATAAACTTAAATTTTTAAAATACTTTTTTTCATTACTATAACTACAATTCATATTACATTTATTTTTATTAATATTTAAATAAAATACTAATAAATCTTATAATTCAATTATACATATTTGAACTCAAGATAAATCTCACTTATTTAAAGTAATGATGAAATAAATATATAAAAAAAATATTTTTAAATATTTAACCACGTGCATTGCACGTGGGCAAGAGTGCTAAGTGCTAAGTGCGTCTAATAATCGCGCTACCCGCACACGGGTTTCGAAGCCTACACTTTGATCCATTATTCAAAGCCCAATAAGCATTCAATGTTTTTAAACCTCTAAAAGAATATTAGAAATTCAGGCCTGACGGGAGCAGTCGTGTATTCACTGCCCTAGAAGATTGAGAACTCGCCTATCGCCCTGACGCAGATGTTCCCTCCCCCTACGCAGATGTTCCCTCCCCCTAGCGGTAAAAACCCCCGGAAACGGCCGGCCTCTACACTCGGGCGAGAGTGCAGAGCTTCAGCTCAGATGAAGGAAGTTGCCCATAAAATAAAACTAAGATGTAGATGAAAATAATATGTAGGGGAGAGAAGAAAAACAAGAGAACTTGTTGTATATTTTTCTTATCATTTTGAGCTCAACATACGGATATATATATAGGGTTGGAAAAGACGTTACAAAACCCGTAATTAATTCCGTAACGTTCGTCATAAATTTTGTAACGTTCCCCATAATTATATAGCCGTTACACATATAAATAATTGCTAATTAAGACATGGTTTAATTATAAAAAATTTATTACTATTCATGAAGGCAAAATTGTCTTTTCTTAACAAAATATCTAACAAAGAGTGTAAGTCATGGAGGTATGGTTAGCATAAGATGTAGAATGAATCATAATCATCCATAAACTAAATCGCAGGTACGATTAACATAGAGGCATGGTTTTTTACTAGCAGAGAGGATCCAAATCCCAGTCATGATTGTAAAAAAAAAATTCTCGCATTTTTTTTGGGTCTACGAACGTATGCATGTTAATCGATCATGTAAGGCTCGTTCCGAATCTTATTTAACTGGTGTGTCTATAATTAATTATTTAAATATGTATCTTGATCTTCAATCTCTGTCTCTTTATACTTTCTGTTACATATATACTAGTCTCAGTCAGATCTGGGCTTCGTAGTGTTGTAGATTTCAAAAGTGAGTTAGACTCCAAAACAAATTAAGACAATTTGAGTTAGTCAACCCAATGCAACCGCGTGCTAATAAACAAGTGGGAATTGTGAAGATCAATGTCTCTAACAATCTTCTGACAAATTAAACTCATATTTATTTACGCATGTTTTCGCTCCTTTACTTCTTTTGCGAGGATACACGCTAATAACAAACAAATGGGTCTAAAAAGTTAAATGTTAGCAACTTTTATCAAGTTATTAGTCTATCTTCTGGAATCCACAATGCGAATTCAAAGCTCTGATTAAGAGAAATAACTATGTTTTCAAATTCACAATGATATATAGTTCTTATGATTGCCTAAGAGAAATAACTATCTTTCTGGTCTAAATGCACTTAATGAGCACTGGATCACTTAATAATTTATTCCAATCTTGATGCTATGCCAGTGTGTCGAGATGCAAAAAGATTATATATATGTGTGCGTCTGTGTGTGGATATATATATTAATGTTCGTGAGTCATAAAGTGCAGATACATTTACCTTTTTAATTTTTTAAAATGGTATGTATGGATATAAGTAAAATATTTAAAGTAGTATCTAGATATATATCTTGCTCAGAATGTTAAAATCATTTTTACCTTCTTGATGTGTATTTTATGTACGTATAAATCCATATCCGTATTCGATTTTATTAGAGTTTTGAGTCTTTGACTATTATGAGAGTTTAATTTACCGAGCCATGTTTGTACTCGTATTCGCATCCGTGATTAGTTAGTTGGATACAAATATGTATCCTGTATCCATTCCATCGCGTCGATGTCAGTAAGATTTTTTTTTTATATAATTAAAATAAGGCTTGCTGAATATAGGTTTCTTAATTATGGTAGTACCTTCATTCCTTCGCCTTTTAGTAGGAGCAGGAAGAAAGTTGCCCTTAAGGTTCAATTGCCAATGATGGAAGTCACCTACTCACCTTACCAAAGTTTGGGACCGACATTAAGATGGAATTTAAGAAATAAAACTATAAAATACAATGCAAATTAAGTAGTTTCTATATTTCATGAGACAACCATAAAGAGGAGTAATGCCTACGCTCATATCTCCAGTCCTATCTAACCCTTAGTTGTCCAACTACCGGCCCGCAATCCCCTAGGCTTCTTCGTATCAAAGATATTTGTCTTGTCATCATCTATGTTTTATGGTTAAGAATGGGGTTAACTACACTAAACCCTCGTGAACTTTCGGTGTGTTTGCAGTAAATCCTATGAACTTTAAAATTTACACTAATTAAACCTCTGCTAACTTTTTGGAATTGCAGAGAGACCCCATGTACCTTTTGAGTGTAGAAATTCCCATAAATTAGAACCAAAAAGCAACATAAAAAGGTATTTCGAAAGTTCATGGTAGTTTAGTATAACTTACCTAAAAGTTCATGGGGTTTTCTGCAATGGGAGTTTAGTGTGATTTTGGAAGTCCACGGAGGTTTACTACAAAACACTGAAAGTTCACGAGGGTTTACTGTAATTTAACATTAAATATAGGAGTCATTTTGACATACAGATATATCAATACTATTTAATCTAATTTTTCATTTTATTTTACTTGTCGAGGTCATTGCATGACTTGATGCTATATTTCAAACGCCCGACCGTCTCATCGATAAAAAAAAGAAAAATGAAACTGATCAGCACATCCCTACTCCATCACAATCAATATCTACACTATTAAATAAAAAAAATTGTGAAGTCTAAACTAGATCTTTTTCTTTAGAAAAGCCTTTTGACTTAGGCTGGAGTGATGCAATCTATTTATTGCAGCAGTTGCCAAATATATACTACAATCTTTGAAACTATGAAGTTGTTCTAGGGGAAGCAAGCCTAAAGTCCAAACAAATAAAAGCAGAGGCCGAGTCCAAGGAACATCCAGCCAAATTGATAGGCTTAGAAGAAGACAACAAATTTGACGACGTCTTCATTAAGAATAGCGGCTTGCTTTCTTCCCAAGAGTCTCTCACTGGTGATGAAAATTGCAGGCTGGTCTTCATATTCTAACCAATCCACCAACATCAGATCTTTGATGATTTAGGGCATGAAGAAAATGACCTCACAAATTTTTATTCATCAATGACGGTATAAACAATAAGCTCAGCGACAAGTTTGAGGTGAACGTTTTGTTTCTAAGCAAAGGTATTCGATGGACGTGTTGTTAGCTAGTTAGCTAGTGAGTTATTTGCATTGTGATATCTTAAACCTTACATCTGTTTTAACTTTGCTAACCCAAAATTTTTATTCGACACTTTAGCATTCCAAACTTTACGCATTTGTTAACAACGATACCTCTATATTTTACACGTTTTAAACTACGATGCAAATTTTGATAGCCGTTGATGTTCAAAAAGGTGTGAACTTTATGGCATCAAAGTGTTGAAAAAACATTTACGGTTTCAAGATTAAAACCGGTGTATTCTTTCAGAACACTTCCATGAAGTCAGAAGAAAAACTTTAATTCAGAACGTGTCTTGATCCAGTTAATGGTCCAAGGAAGAGAAAAATCTCTAATATGTTGGGTCGTAAAGACCTGTGAAGAGTGATAGAATATATACTAATCTGTTGACTAACAAGGATTAATTATAGTTGAGCCGTGAACGCAAAAATATTTAGCTACAGGTTCGTTCAACTATTATATTTCAATATGCATCCTCACGTCTTTACTAGACCCAACCTACGTCTACACGAACGGATGCAAGACACCCTGATAACAATATACTAATCTTAGAAATCCTCTTCTTTTTTGTAATGCTTCAGAAGGTGTTTCTTTTTTTTCCCTTCCTCATTGAAATTTCAGTCTTCTATTAGACATGATCAACTGGTAATTACTTCGACGCAAAGAAATCCGAGATCTCAGTCATCCAAAATGAAGTTTTAACATAATAGAGAGGAACATGATGCATGAATATCTTATCAACAAAATGTTGGCCCTTCACTAAAATACTAAAACACGACAAAGGAGTCAGGGACCAAAGCTGAGTCACGATAATCCACGGTCAGACTCATCACCTTGTACTTTGCTTTGGGATCCCCACGTCAGTGCTCGAGACCAGCCGAAAAAAGCCCACTTGGATCAAAATGTTTGTATGCCATGTACGCTCACTTTATTTAACTTTGTTCAACCGGGAACGCAGGTGGGAGTGGGTGGACACTGATAGCAACTTTGAACAGTTATTGGGTTATGCGTATAAACTATTGTTAACTAGATCTAAGGCCTTTGAAGTTTTGTGGATTTCAAAGGGTAGAGGGGACCAGTGTCCAGACCTGAAAACAGATTGAGGGAGAAACAGTGGGGGTGATTGAATAAAGTTTCCTGCTGCCCATGTGGGAGTTTCAAGTGCTGCTTGATCAGGTTAGAAAAGGGTGAAGCACATGTGCTCTGTCCATTTAGAAACATGTATGCAATCGAAGGAAGTATCCGATATAGATGAGGTGATTACACCAGCAACATCATTGATTATATTGATAGACATTAGCGATGTGCGTGTTAAGGGTACGAGATTCATGCGTCACCGTCTAAGAACAAGAAAGATGAATTGAACTGAAGGGAGGATTAGGACATTGGAGAATGCAAAAACATCTTCTATACCATGGTTGTGGTATGTACTTCCTCCATATGGAGCACGTAAGTACCGCATCCTCTTGTGCACTTGAAAGGACAGAAAACATTTGGAGCAAATGCACGTGGGAAAGAAGCAATCTGATATAATGAACATTACCGTGTAACAAGATTTACATGTAATATAAAAATTATAGACAAAATGAAGCTTGATCAGTTGTGCATGTTTTACACTTACGCACAGAAAACATAAAATTGTTATTTTTTAACTCTGACAATAATAGGTGCATTTCTCTCCTCATCTTGCATCTTTGCAGAAAGCACCTTAATTTTACTGTCACCATCTGTAATGAAGAAATGCAAGGAAAAGATGAGCTCAAGACAAATGGTTCATTTACTAGCATTAGCTGGAAAAAGAAAACATAAATGTTCAGCATGTCTGTAAAGCTTCTGTTCTCATGTAATTTCCAGGGTCAACCTGAGCACCTTTTCACTTTGGTAAAGCACCCAACTCAGTAAAGTACTTCATAACTACACAATTTCACTGGAGCGGTTGGGAAAAAAAAGAAGGGGAAAATAAAAGCAACTCCAAAAGCAAAAGATATTCTTACTGATATTATAAACCCCCATCCATCTTTTAAGCTTTCAATTGAACGGTACCTTTGTCCAAAATAGTATTATGAATATGGCTCAAGGATATCAGAATCAACTTGGTGATAATAGAGGGTAAAGTTCATTGAATCAGAAGCTAGACCTCACTTTTTACACAAAAAGAAAGAAAGAAAGGGGAAAGATCAAAGGAGCTGAAGCAACTTGGAAACTTCATATATGATTAATATATCAGAATTAATATATGGATATATGTACAATTACAGTCATGGGAGGGCTGTGGTGTATAAAAACTCTTCACACTCTCAGACTAACAAGATATTTATCTATCCGATCAGCAGCAAACCCTCCGATAACTTAAATAAAAACCCGAAACACCGAAAAATGTACAATTTAGATAAAAAAAACTTCAAACTCAAACATCGGTATGACAAAATTTCCCGTCCATTCTGTTCTGAACTGCTTTGATCGCAGCAACACGAGCAGCAGTGGCTGCCCTGTTAGCAGCAGAGACTGCCCTGTTTACTTGCTCGTCAACTCGTGGAGCGAGAACAGCATTCTCTGCAGCTTTTCTTGCAGCCTAGTCAGAAATGACAACACAATTTAGAGCTCAGATACAGAGCTAAAGAAGATAACTTCTAGGATTGATGACATTCATGAACAACAAGGAAACGTTGTAATTCCATGGGTGACCCTAAAATGTACATATCAGCACAGAGAACCTTGAAGTTACTGATTATAACTACGAGAGGGTGATCCTGGTGTAATCTCAAGGTTAGCCGTATAAATACGCGGACTACAAGGCCACTAGTACACCATACCTCACCTCAGGGTACCTGAATGTAATCAACCCTAACTTTTAAGTATGAATGAAGCATATAGATAGATACCTGAACAGACCGTTGTATTGAATGGTTGGATGGTGATAATGGGTTTTTTAGGACTCCACAATCCCATTCACCAGACCTCATTTCTCCATTACGGAAAGTGTAGGTTCCAAAACCCTGCCTTCGACCTTCATGCCATGAGCCCTCGTAGCAGTGGCCATTGGCGAAGTGGTAGACCCCGAAACCATGGATTTTGTCACCAAAATACTCTCCAGCATATCTGTCTCCATTCCTGAAAAAAGAGAAAGGATAAAGCTTCCTTCATTTGAATAAAGATGAGGAGATTATTGTTCAGAGGAAAATATGCAAATTAGTTTCAATAAGCAAAATTTTGAGAAGCTTTGGGATGGAAAAAACTTGCAGTTCGAATATGTTCAAGCAAATCAAAATCAACCCCCGGAAAGAATACAAAACGTTAGAAAGGAACTGGGATAGAAATGACAACAAATGCACCAGTTAGCCCATAATTCCTGGATTAGAAAGTCGCAAAATTTAGGAACTAGAAATTTGACAATCGACAAATTGTTTCAACCAATATTACATGGAATCTTGAATATCAAAAGACTTGGGTCTCTAACCTTTTTAAGAAAGGAGACTCTTCTTCAGGCACCCTTTCACCCCCCTTTAACTTTTTGCATGGATGTCATATTGCAATAAAAAGAGTATAAATCCGTCTTAAAAGTCCAGTAATTTGTTCAAGTTGATCTTAAGTTTTATCAATATATTTTGAACAATCATGAAAGTACAGAAAGAACAAAAAATTGTGAGAAAGCAACAATAAATGATCCAAATGCTCTTTGTGTCCACAGCATCAATGTACCATATTCCAACAGTCCGTCAAGCAGAAGAATCTTTTGAAACAAACCATGTTGTCATGAGTATTTAAAAGAGCCGAAGTAAGATTATCGGGAAGCCGGTCTCCAGACAAGCAATTGTACCATTTCCTCAATTTATATTCAACATGAACTTGATGACATTTTGGTCACATAAACAAAGGAAGCAGAAATATTATAATGTTACGCAAACCAAATAATAGTATCATAACAAACGATGCTAGAGTTATAATAGTTCTGTACAAAATCACCAGTTTTGCAACCAAGAGCAGAAACAGCTCTGTAGTTTTGACAAATTCAATTCACAAAAGAAAGTATTAAATGAAGAGTTCATCAATTATGAGGAAACTCATAAAATTTACCAATGTCAGCTTGAATAAAATCTTACTTCATCATTAATTCGTTACTAGTTGATATAACAACCTAAGAAGCTGAGTATACGCATATATTTGTGCCCATGCTAATTAATAATAACCATTAAACTTATATAGAATATCACTTTTCAATAGCACGATGAACAAAAACAGGAACACTACCAATAAATCCAAATTATACGAATAAAATCGGTGATTTGTCGAAATAATCAACACATCTGTGATGGCAGAAGTTTCAACAATCGCATCCACAATTGAAACAAAACAGCAAAGAAAGATTATAAATCGTTGAAGATGCTCATAACACGATGCACGAAAGAAAACCAGAGTATTTAACCAGTAGGCCCCAAACCCATTCCTTAACTACCAATCAAACAAAGGGCAACATCAATTCAATAATCAAAGGAAGAATTTCGAGGTCCAATTACTAATAAGCAAAACTCGTATCAAAGGAATCCAAACGAGATCACAAAATTCAAAAATTGTCCGAATCAGGGTAAAGAATTGATCTTTGAAAACCCTAAACCAAACAATCAATAAACAACTCAAACATCACCCAAACCAAATCAAGATCAAATTTTTACCTGAAATGGTAGTACCCAAGTCCATGCTTGATCGCACCTTTAAACTCCCCAACATAGCAACTCCCATCAGCACAGCTCTGCACACCGCTACCGTGGCTATGCCCACTCACCCACTCACCCGCGTAGCTATCGCCATTAAAAAACTTATACACCCCGAACCCATGCCTCAATCCATTTCTATACTGCCCCCTGTATCTACTCCCTTTAGCCCAGCTCTCAATCCCGTACCCATCATACTTCCCATCGACCCAATCCCCTTCATACCTCCCCTTCGCAAAGAAATTGTAAACCCCGCTCCCATTACAGCTCCCTTTGTGAAACTCCCCTTCATAGAAATCCCCATTGCTGTAGAACTCGACTCCTTCCTTCACAATTTTCGATTTTGGGCACGACCCATTTCGGGAAACCCGCTCTCCGTCGTCCCCAATGAACCACTGGACCGATTGCGTCGATTTGAGCCGATTACCGAAGAGAAAGGATCGGGTTTTTTTTAGGAACAGAGAGAGGAGGGCGAGGGAGAGGGTGAAGACCAAGAGGTGGGTGAAGGAGGGGGCGAAGGAGAAGAAGATGGTGAGGATTGTGAGGGCGAAGAGGAGAGAGAAGAGGGCGAGAGGGAGGAGAGGGGATGAGGTCGAGGCTGGGTGAGCAAGTGGGTGTGGGTACTTTCTGGTCTTTTTAGAGTCGGGGATTTGAGGGTGCTGCTCGTGAGGGAGGAGAGGCTGTGGGTGGATGAGCGCAGGGTGGGTGAGCGGAGGAGGGAGGAGGGTGTGCGGGTGAGTTTGGGCTTTTGGGTTTCCATTAGTGGAGGAAGGGAGAGAGGATCATTGCATCTATAGAGAGAGAGAGAGAGAGAGAGAGAGAGGGCGAGATTGATTGAGGAAGAAGAAGAGAGAGGCGAGAGTCCCAACGGGCGTCTTTTAAACAGGGGACCGGGTCGGGTTTAGTTAACACGGATGGTCCAATACTCATCCGAGTCCTGTCTCCTCCTGCCCCCATTCATCATTGCACTTTCTTTGTGCAAGTTTTGCATAATGCTTCTACTTCATTTTGTTATTGGCAGTTTCCTTTTTTTTTTTGCAACAGTTAAATAAGGGAAGTTTATCTCCTGCACGAAAAGAAGTTTTCATTTTTTTTTCTTTTTTCCCCATCTTATTTACATTCTATCAATCGCACAATATAAATAGAAAATAATAAGAAAGTAGTTTTTTTAAGAAAATAGTTTCTTTTAAAGTCCGACTTTCTATTCACTTTTTGGTCGTCAAAACACGCCTCAAGTAATTTCTTTTATATTCAAATGTATATTTTGTTACATGTCAATTAATTAACACTAGTTTAACCTCTTAAATCCATCACTTGGTAGAAAATATAATGAAATTAAATAAATTTACTTGACCTTCATATGAAATTTGATTAATGTATATTTTGATAAGTTAATGCTGGTTTAAACTAGACTGGAATAGATGGTCCTATCCGAAATTAATCTCTCAACCAAGCACATAATATGGAGGTTTTTTTTTTCTATCATACTAACCAGAGCGTAGTCCTTCAAGGGGAATGGTAAGAATTGTAATCTAAAAGATGATACGCCTTTTAATGTGAAAGTAGTCCCTTTCTCTTTCTGCCTTTCAACTACATAGGAAAAGTCGTCAAAGATTTAGACGGTCAGATGTTAACAGATGGTTGTTACTGACGTTGACCCTATAGTTTTGATGATGATTTGTCAAATAATTTATCGTTAATATATTCTCTATTTTTGTTTTTATGTTTCTTTTTACAGATATTTTAACACACGACAATCAAGCATTAAAGATTCAAGTTCATATGTGTGGAGTTACCTAGGTATAAGAGTAGTTTACTTACATATATTGTATGTTTATATTTAAGCTCAATATATGTACACTTAACACGATTTTTGACGTTTTCTATCATATAAATGATTTTTCATCAAACGTTGTTACAATATCTTTTATTTCATGTTTACAGCTCATTCATACTTTATTATATACATATAATATATGCATGATATATATATACATGTTTATAAATCATATCAAAATTTTCATATTCGTAAAATACAGGTTTTATGAACACTTTTCAAAAACAGTGTGTTTTTGCAAACGAAAATTATTTTTTCAAAATTTCTTTTCTAACATGTTCATTTTATCATTTAGAAAATTTTCCCAAAGTTTTATTATTTTTGGAATTGCTTTGCTATTTTTAAAGTATTTTCAAAATAGGCTCAAAAACAGGTTTCACACTGTGTCTGTTTGCGGTCGACCGCCACGGTCGACCGCCATGAACAAATTTTCTTAGTCTGCCTTTTTATTGTTCGCGGTCGACCGTGACGGTTCACCGTGATTCATCCAGAGACCTTCGCGGTCGACCGTCACGGTCGATCGCTAGCATCAATTTTTCAAACCTCAGTGTTTTTGTGCTTCGCGGTCGACCTCCACGGTCGACCGCCGAACTCATGACGGTCGACCGCCGAACTCATGATTGTATTCCAACAGCTAGTTTCTGATTTGATTCTCTGGGGGCTTTTTGGTCTTTTCAAGTTGGTTTTTGCTGAGTTCTTGAGTGGGTATAAATACCTCATTGCTCTTCTATTTCAAATAAAAAGAAAACCAAGAGTTTTGTTTTTACAAGAAGCTTTAACAAAGGTTTAAGAGGCGTTTAAAGAGCTGTTAAGCTAATTTTCGTTAATCTACTTCAAGAGAAGTTTTCTACAACAAGAAGTGGCTTTCAATTCCTATTAGAATCATCATCTACTACTCTTCTTGTTTATTGAGAAGTTTTCTAAACTCTTCCTTATATAGCTTACTATTTCATTTTTATTTATTTAGCTATATTTATTGAGTTGAATTATTTTCATTCACTGTTATCACACACACATATTGAGCTTAATATCTTCATACTATATAGTGTGGGTTGTGATTTAGTGAGTGTGAGCTTCATTTGTGTTCTCATTTGTTATTGAGAACAAATCATTGTATTTACCTTTTATTATGAGAATCACTTGTAATACACTTGTACACCGAGAGAAGTGTGAGGCGAGAGACGGGGTCGAATCCAATAGGAGTGGCGTCGGTTGACGAACCTAGGGAGAGGTTGTATCCGAGTACTTGAGGAGGAGGACACGGGCTAGGTTCCTACACTTAGTGTGTAAAGTGTGATTGTATAGTGTTTGTTGTGTGAGAGTTTTTCGGTAAGTTTGTAAACCGAGTGTGTAGAAGTTCCGGCTTCCAAACCGGATTGTGATAGTGGAGATCTCCTCGAGGTGAGGAGCGGGGACGTAGGTCGTGGTGACCGAACCTCGTAAACATATCGTTTGTTTGTGTTTTGTTTAGCGTACTTTTTATTTGTGCTTATTCATATCTCTCTTGCTCATATTTATCTTATATCATTCTTGCAAGAACAAATTAATCAACATAATTTTAATTGGCTTTTAATTGGGATTAGATTAGCTTAAGACCCTAATCACCCTCTCTCTAGGGTCTAACAACTGGCCGTCAGATTGGAAGGAGCCAAGGCAAGGCATTATCTTCGGATCTCGAGGACCGGGACAAGCAGTCCTCATCACGTGAGTGGTGGGTGCGGTTGGTAGGAAAATAGTGTGAGGGAGGGACGGAGGTTAACTCAGATTTTTTTCCCCTCTTTTATTTTTCTGGTCTCCTTTTTGGTCTGGGTGTGCCTGGATTTCATTGGTGATGCACCTGGGCATTAAAATTAAAAGGAAAAAATAGGGGAAAGAAGATAATGGAAGCTAGAAATTTTTTTAAAATTTTTTTTGGGGGGGAAGGAGCGGGTGGGAGGGGGGGAGGGCGGAGGGGCGGAGGGGGGGTGGGGAGGGCCGAGGGGGGCGCGAGAGGGGCGACAAAATAAATTTTAGAAGAGAATTTCGAAAATTAGGAGAAATACTTTGTCTTCTAAAAAACCCCAAAAAGAGAACAAAGGTGGATACTCCCTTGTTGGTAGTGAAAATTAAAAGGGGAAATACAGGAAAAATGATAATGGAAGTTAAAAAAATATTTTTGAAGTTTCAAATCAATTTGGGGGAACAAATTTTAAATTGTTCGAGAGTGAATTTAGAAAATTAAGGGGAATAATCTGTCTTCTAAAGAATTCTCATCTGGAGAACAATGGTGAATACTCTCTTGTTGGTAGTAAAAATTAAAAAGGGAAATAGGGGAAAGAAGATAATGAAAGTAAGGGAATTTTTTTAAAAGTTTTAACCCAATATGGGGGGAACAAACTTTAAATTGTCTGAGAGTGAATTTAGAAAATTAAGGGGAATAATCTATCTTTTAAAGAATTCCCAAACAGAGAACAAGAATGCATACTCTCGTAACTTCCATGCTCTCATAGTCCCTCAATCCAAAGAAAGGTCATTAGTAAAGGATTAATTGCATTAAATATACTAAAGTTTTTCCTAATTTGTATTTATATATCTTCATCTTTACTTTTCTTTTGCAACACTTATATATCCTAAAGTTTCTAAAAATTTGTGTTTAAATGTTATATATTTTGCAAAACGTT